TGAAGGGGGCACAGCACCTTTCCAGGGGTACATATAGCCCCTATGGTCTTGAGTCTCCAGGGAAGCAATATATTTGTACAATCCTATTGCAAGTACTTTCTCTGCTCGCTGGCTCACTGTTCAGCTTTCTAAGTCCCAGCAACACCTAGCTCCCACTAGTGGAATGTGGCCATGCGAGAACACAGCTTGCCCTGGGCATTCCAGGTAAAACAGTTTCCAACCATTCATCAGTGCTCTTTTGCATTTCTTAACTGGTTGGCATGGAAAGCTCCAGATGAAAGTTAGTATTTTCCCCAAAGTGGAAGTATCATGTCCAAACAATACACCAGGCTAGCTTGCCAGCTGTTTTCATATTTGAGGAATCTGAGGTGCAGAATTGAACCTACCTTTGTTCCCCTCTTAATGTATTTCTTTGCAAAGGCAGTATAATTCCACATTTGTATTTTCATTCCAAAGCAAATGCTTCACTGCACTTTTTATTAAAATGAAATCTGGTGTGTGCAGCCTGGTGTTAAATGAGAGACTATTAAAGCCAATCAGTGGAGAACTCATTAGTAACCCTACAACAACAAACTAGTAGTTATGGCCTAGCATTCACAAGCAGCCATGACAACCAGTAGGAAGAACCCAGGTCTCATTGAAGGCTGTAATAAAAACGCAGTTTATGTAGCCCAACGACTGTGAATATCCATACCAAACGGCTGAGCTTCTATTCCTCAAATATGTGCCAAAAATCATATTCTTTTCTCATGACTCATCCCTGAATTCCACTCCCAAGAACACTCCTGTCATTTAGTTATTTCTTCCCATTTCTAAAATGTAATGAGAAGCACCAATCCCGAGCTCATAGAAATCTGTCCCATCAATTAAAATAATGAAATAAGCAGAAGGCTGCCTACAAACACATCCACCTCTGCCCACTCACTCCTCAGCAGCCATGGTGAAAGGAGAACACACAAGCTTTGCGGAATGCCTAGAAGGTTAGCAACTCTCCTTAGAAGGGCTGAGAGGGAAGAACTCCACATCTGAGCATCTCTCCAGAGGAACCCCGTGTTAGAAACTCCTTCCCAACCTTTTGTAATCTTCTCATCCCATAGAAGAGAGCAGAGAGCAATGGTTTGCTGTGAGCCCAGGAGAAGACTGGCCATTGAGATACCTATAAACTTGATAGAAAACTGATTTGAATGTTCCAGTCTTTCTGGGACAATGAAGGAATAAAGGAGCAGGTAATTATTACAAACAAAACAAAGAATTAATGAGTGTAATGGAACTGGAAAACAGCATTTGGATATTTGGACTCCAAATGAACACCTAAACCTATTATCAGCATAAATTGAGATAAATCCCTCACTAGAGGAAAACTTCTTCAAGAATCATTCAAAAAGAAAACAAACACGTTTTGTAGGACACACCTTCCTCAAAGGATCATTTTCATACTAGTTGGTGGAGTTACCTCACCAGTGGGCTCAAGGACAAAATCTGCAATGTTCAATGGTCGTGATCATACTTCTGCAGTTCCAGCCTAACACAAAGGAGAACCGGTTTCAAGACAGACAAGAAGTAGTTGCTATGAGACCATTATTAATACGAGAAAATGCAGACCAAACACCTACATTGGTAAGAAATGGCATTTAGATAACAGTCCGTCTTGTTTCTTTTTGTGCTTGCAGCCATACTTCAAACAAAACTTTGTTTGCACAAGCTCTTGCAAAAATGAACAAGTGTCAGCATAAGAAGCGGGAAAGACACAGAGAAACTGAGCTTTCTTTCTAAAACTGGGCGACATTCAGTTCGTTTCCTCCTTACTCCATTGTACACCCAGATCAACCACCAACTGAGACCTCATTTTAGCTGCATTCAGAACCATTGCACTTTCAGAAAGAGAAGAAAAAAAAAGTAAGAAATGGTCAGAGTTCAAAGGCAGATCTTGGGAAATGACTAATTCACAGTCAGGGTATAATGTGCCCCATCTGAACAAAATTACACATTTTTTTAGTTGTATGTGTCACTCTCCGAAGAATAAAATGTGAAAATTCCTTTATCATGCTGCCTCCCAGCTATGGATTTGAAGTAAATTGGACCACTTTGGGTTAGCTTCAAGAGTTTCTGAAACACCAGCTACACAGTGATGTATTATCTGAGGTCACATACACTTTGCAGTCTCCCCAGACATCAACCCCACGTACATACATTTCTCTATTCTGTGTAGGCATGCGGAGGGGGAACTGCAAGTTGCAGACGGCCAAATATAGTATTGCCAGGTCCAGGGCAAGACTAAAATTAGTTTTCCAGAACCTTCAGTCCAGTCTAAAGTGAGTGAGACCATAGCCCACACATGTAGGTATCGCTGCTGCACAATGCGCAAGTGCTCTGGGCTCTTAGTAGGTGGAAGGGGTTGGGGAAGGTATGAGACAGGCAGGTCTGCAGAATCTGTAATAGCCCAGATAGACAAAGCTTTCACGAGAGATTTAAAGACCTCAGATAGTCAAAGTGTATCAGGAGAGATCTAAAGCTTAGCACATAGTAAATTCCAACATGTTCAACGGGACTTGAAGGTATGACCACAGATTACAGCCATTAATCTCTGTGGGTTTTGGTTCAGTGATGTGAACTCATTATCCTCATGTCTGCTTCTTTCCACATCTTGTCCTTTGCCTCTACCTTTCCTCCTGCCCAGACCGCATGCTGGGAAGCTACGCTTGAAGCTATCACATTTCCATTGAACCTTTGGATTTGTAAACCCAACGGCTTATTTGGACACCACTAGCTTTTATACATAAAAAGGTGCCTGAAAGTAATTTCACTTAAACTAAGCACCCAACTCACTGAAGCCAAACATTTAAACCATCTCACTCACAAGTACAGAGAGGGTGGAAATCTTTAGGGAGAGCAGAACTCCCAGACTGGCAGAGCACATGCAGGCCAGCGCTGCGAGAGGCAAAGTGAATATTTGCACGGTGGTCACAGAAGCAACTACAACACAGTGTAATTAATTATTTCTGAGCTAGCTCATCAGGTGCCTGCAGCGATCTAGGCAGTGGCAGAATGGAGCTTGGCATGGACTAATTGACTCCGCTTCTCAGCAAGACTGATGTCAGTACCCAAACTAAGCTGGGTATATCTACATGTATCTGCAGTCATTCCGGTGAATGCTGTACCCAAAGGAGACAAGCGAGAAGGAGCAGCATGATTTGGGCCATGAAGGTGAGAAGAAAGCTAGTATCTTCAAAAGTGACAAGAACTGCTTTCATGTAGGGTGCCCAGGCTGCAGGGCATATCTACAGTGCACAACAGTACTGTCATATCTAGAGACTCAAGAGTCTCTGAGCAGGCGACTTCTGTAGAATGCAAAGAAGTGCTACGCGGAGAGATCATGTTGGGCTCTCAAAGCAGCGTAGTTATGTGGGTATGATATTATGCACAGGCTAATACAGTGTCAACAGAACTAATTAGCAGAAGGTCTCTGCATCACATAGCAGGGGACATTTTGTTTTCTAGATAACTGCTGAAAAGACACAATACAGCTTCCCAAAAAAACCCCTATTTATTTGTAAAGGTAGAACAACAGCCTGCCTTGATACTACTGTTGATAACTTTGCATATATTAAATACATTTTCCCTGTTTAATCATTCCAGGGATGACTCAAAAGAGCAGCGGAAAACACCCCTTACCCCTAAGTCTAGCTGAGAAGGAAACTGTTAAAAGATTTGGTCACCTTTGGTGGTTCCAAGGCTTGCAGACAGCAAAAAGCCAGTATGAGAAAGAGGAACTAAAAGCACTAAGACCTGGTAATATGCCAATGGATCATAGAGACAAAACCCAAATAACAGATAGCATTACAGATAATGTAATGGGTCAAGGAATGGACTTTTCTGCCAGTCCTCAACTTTCAGGCAAAGGAAAATCTGCTTTCTTGTCCACCAGAACCTTTATCTGCCTTGTACAGTTGATAGTGAGGGTCACAGCACGCAAACCAATCCATCACATTCACATTGTTCCATAAGTCATCGTGATAAATGAACAAAGATTCTGAGCTCTGTGTGGCCACCTCTCCTGATGGCTACTGCCTGGATCACCCTTGTCCTACCACAAAGGCACCAACCTGCCCAAGGATTTTATATGTAAAACATTGGAGAATGACAGCTGAGCAGGTCAGGGGGCATCTGGCTAATTGCAGATCCCATGTCTAATTATCTGAGTTGCTTAGCAACACATTAAAACTCCAGCTGGAACAAAAAGGAAGATCTAGTAATCAGAGTGCTGTTCTAGAGGTTGTTCCACCACAGGTTTCCTCTATGACCTTAAACAGACATCTTACCACTGTTTCTTAGGAAAATTTGAATACTGAACAAAAGATGTTTATTGAAATAGGTTTTCCCTATTTTATAATGTGCTTTTCCATCTAAAAAAAACTGACTGTTCTCATGGAGGTGCCTAGGGTCTCTGCATAACGGACAAAAGAATGGGCCCCAAAACAGCATAAGGACACCTGGTCCTCAGACAACAGTTGCCATGAAACTATTCCAGGTGGGTTACACAGCCATCACCTATAAAGGATACCCGTTCACATCCTGCTGGTGCCTGGAACAGAACGTGATGTCTTCTAAATTTCAATGCACACATCCTCACTGTTTGCAGCAAGAACCCACCCGAGTGTGACAGACCCACTCAGGCAAACACTCCAGAAGTTCAGCACCATTATAAAAGCAAAATTTTGCACACTGAGGGGCACACTCAGTTATTTTCACTATGCCTTCATTGTTCTTTTTCCTCATGCTGGCTTGCCCCATGTTGCATGTAGGCTTTCTAAGGGGGTGACCGTTCTGGCACTCATGACCCACAACAATGTGGGTCGCACCATCAGCATGCCTCCCCTTGCCCAGGTTCCGGCCAACACCACCCCTGCCCCGAAGCACCACATGCCCTAGCAGAATTATTCTGGTCTCAGAGGTCCTCTCTGATCCCTCTTTTGTAAGGCTGGCCCAGCCCCTTCCCTTACCTGTTGAGCATGTTGGACTGGTAAATCCTTTTCTCCTGGGTATTATAACAGCTGCTCTTGGGCTCAGGGATGAAGCTGTGTTCAGACAGCATATCAGAAGCAGCCGTGGTGATTATGGCTATTCCATCCCTCACTCTGGCAGGAAGACCGTAGTCCCATTCATCATATGAGACAGAGATGAGCCCAGTGGGGAACTCAGATGGCACTGTGTCTGTATCCCCTGCCACCAGGCTGGGCACGATCCACGTGTAACCATAGCCTGTCAGACCCACAGAGTTGGCCACCTCAAAAATGTAGGTGGCCTCTTCCTTTGTGCAGTAGAGGAGGATAACAGGGCTTTGGAGCTTCTTGAGCTGGTTCTGGATCTTTGAGTCCCCATCGTCCAGGGACATGTCCAGCAGGAGGACCTCCTCCAGTTCCCAACCCACAAAGCTGTGCTCAATGGTACTGCGGATCTTGTTCACAAAGTCCTGGTAACCAGGGAAGTAAGTAGTGACAATGGAGAAGATGTACCAGTCATATTCTTCCATGATGTTGAGCATGACAGAGGCTTGCTGTTCTATTGATGGGCCAAACTGGAAGAACATGGATGACTCATCCTAGAATAGGAAGTCAAAGAGAGGAGAGAGAAAAAGAAAACAAGAATCGGTCAAAGGAAATAAACAGCATTCCTAGTCAACACATTGAGTATGGATGGGGAAGCACACGGTTGAAATCTTACACTTGTCTTGGCCAGAGTTTAAGGTTTTTTAACTTTTAAAATTTTAAAATTTAAGTGAAGCAAGTGGGAAGGAAGTAAAAGCCTTTTTATGACCAGCTGTCCTTACTTTATTCTTAAAGGCAGGTTGCAGGAATTACTTAAAGGTTTCAAATGTTAGGCATGATTCTAACAGACAGGAAACAAGTGGTACACAAGTGAGGACAGAAAAAGAGAATATGTACAAAATATTCCATGGCTGCAGAAATTAAGATTTTAAATTGTGGTATTATCATAACCTTATATGTGGTATGAACAGGACACACAGCAGCTTTGATACGGATTTAGTTTGGGACAGTCACTCTAGTTTCAGTATCCAGACTGAAGTACAACTAGGGTGGGCAAAACCATTGGACACAAACAGCACTGGGAACCTCCACTTTAAGCTCTTCTCAAAGCAAGCAGTAGCACAGAGTGATACAACTGTGAAGGCTCAGTCTCAGAACAACATATGCGTACTAAAATGGAAAAAATAAAATCCTAAACTATCATGGGTTTTGTTTATACAATGTTTTAGAGAAATGTCAGCTCAATGTTTCTCTTGGTATTGCCTTCATATCCTTCTGCCATACCAAGTTCATCTTTGCAAGAATCAGAACTTGTACCATTTTATAACATCCAAGACTCCAAGGGAATTTTGTACACAGCTCTTCGATGGCAGTGTGTAAGCCTTTTTCATCCTGGGATTTCACAAGATACCAGGCTTTCAATTTGTGACAGATCCAGTAAAATCCAAATCCCCGCTTTTTTCCCAATTCATGATGGAAAGGAATGGAAAAAGCATTTGCCAATATGTTCTCTTATGGATTGATCTTTTATCTTTTAAACTGCTACCTCCCACTGACTTCTATAGAGTAAGATTAGACCACAAACAAACAAATAATAAAAAAAAAAGGCAGAATTAAATTATATCTCTCCACAGAGATTCCCATTACAATACGAATGTTCTCCAAATCCAAACACAACTTTTAGGAATGACATAGCAACACCACCTTCTTTCAATACTCCAGAAGAGCTGAACTAGAGATATATAAAGAGGTAGTCACAAGTTATAGATCTGGGGAAACTCATTGTGCAAATGTCCCAAGACATTACCTCAAGATACTCACATTTAGAACAGCTCTCTACCAAATTCACTCTCCTACAGCCTGGCAGGTAAAGCTGGTTTTCAGCAGGGATGCCAGTCAATCATCCATCCATCCTTCCATCCTTCCTTCCATCCTTCCATCCATCCTTCCATCCATTCCTCCCTTCTTTAGTCATGGTTTTGATTACCTACAGCCATTTTCTTTATTGGCAAAATATGCCATAGCTCAGCAACCCCCGAAAAAAATAATCTCTGATCCTGCATCTAACTGCGAGCTTTTTGTTTCTTTTTCCTGAACTCCCTATGGGTCACATCCTTTACAAAAGAGCCCTTGGTCCCAGATCCCCATGCCTCTCCTATAAGGTGGTTAAACTCTGTTCTCCTCCACACAGCTCACCACCCACTTGTGAAAATACTCTTAAGGCTGCTCGTTGCTCACTGGAAAAATAAATGTACACAAAAGAAAAAGGAAAAGAGGAGAGCAACAAATTGGAGACAAATTAAAAAAACATGAGCAGCAATTGAGCCTCTCAATCTGTGGAAAACAGCTCATACTTTCCACCACTGGAATTCACCCCCTGGTCCCAGAACTGTGCTCAGGAAAATAATTTACTCTTCCAATGGATATATTTTTCATCTTTCAAGATTATGGAGAAAATCAGGAAAGCCAAAGGAAAGATTAAACTATTGTCACAGCATCGGCCAGAGTTTGAAGAAAGTCTGAACAAGCAACTCCAATACCATTAAATGCACTGTGCCTTTGAAAGCCACTTGTAGCAAAATGAATGCTGGAGTGCAAAGACTCACCCTTACTGTAACATGGAAAGGCAAGGCAGCTACATTGATGACTAGTACTTATTTTTATATTAAAATCAACAAACGTTTTCCTATAGGCATGCATAACAACTCTGAATTGACTACAAATTTCCACAGTTTCTAGCAGAGAGTCTAAGATCTGAAGGACCTGGCTACTGAATTACAGGAACATTTGACAGACAGCGTCTTGAAGTCTTGTCTGAAAAAACACTGAGTGCCTTCCCCAGTGACCAATAGGAGATGGGAGATGATAAATCCACTAGCATTTCAAGGCTGCATACGCAAACGTATGCAGGAGTTAGAGGGCATGGTAGCGAGATGCCAGAGGTACTGCCCTCCCTGTGATTTTAGGCAGTGAGATGCTCCAGCTGAAGTGCCTGCTGACAGCTGATTTCACATGCGTGCACGGCCCAACTATTGAAAGGAATTCAGCTGCAAAAATTCAGGGAGAAAATCCAGAGCTCCTCACTAACCAGACGGTATCAGAGCATCAAAAATCAATACACCAAATAGATAGCTTTATTGCAACTCAGCTAAACAATTCCTCTCCACTGAGGAACGTAAGCACCCCTTCCTAAATCAAACAGCACAGACCACTTGGCTGTGCACATAATTATTGCTCATGAGCAACTGCCTGCATTTTTATTATAGAAGCAGCAAGAAGAGGCAACTTCTATTCAAAATGAGAGAGCATTAAGGAGGTGCAAGCCAGTCCAGCTTTTGGCTTGCCAAGATGTCGCTTGGCACTTGATCACCCCAATACTTGGGCTAGCCAAATGCTCTTCATTCCCTGACCAACTCAGCACTCCAAAAAGAGAGGGGCGAGGGAAGAAGGACGGACAACAGTGTAGAAGAAAATGTCCCTCATAATAAATCAGGAGAATTGCTGATAGAGCTGGATGGAAATCTCAGTGAGTACCTTTTGGGGGACAAAAAGAAAACTAAGAAAAATACCCGAGAGCCACAATTTCCTTCCTGTCCTTATTTTTGACCACACCTGATGGAACGTCAGTGAAAAAGAGAAGGAGCTGAACTGACAGAGAGCCAAAGGGCTATCAGAGCAGGAATTTGATCTCACTGTGGTGTTACTGTGAAAGCTTTTAAATTAGGAGATAGATCTGTGGAGTTTTTAGCATTTTTACGCTCATATACCCCATAGAATCATTATTGCTTTATTACAGTCTAAAACCAGAAAGGAATATTTTACCCCTCCAGACATTCAAGGTTTTACAAAACATTGCAAGCTCCTATTTTTCTTCTGAAGAAATTTCATACTCTCCACCTCCCTTTTTCACCTTGGAACAGCCAAAACATGGTCCAACATTGCCACTGGGAGACAGATTTAAGTTTGGACTAGGGATAGGTTGAGTTCAAAGCACAAGTCCCTTACACTGCACATCATCCAGGTGAAATACAATCCTCTAGCTACAGGGGGAAAAAAAAAAAAAAAGAAAAAAAAAGCAGCTTGTCTTTCTCCTACAGCCCCTTCACCTGCAAGCTCAGGCTTTCCACAGCTAACTACTGCAAGGGACAGCAAGATGCCGCAGGGTGTCCCTCACCCAGACTGAAAGAGCAGAGGTTCCATTACAGGATCTCAATGCTTCTAGAGATCCCAGTCCTCCCCCACTGCAAGGTCAGGGATCTGTAGCTTGCAGAGCTGAGCTGGAGGTGGAGCCGATCAATTGACACAGCACCACTCCCCAGCTGACAGATGGCTTCCCACAGAAAATCTGCTCCGAGTTTACCAGTTTACCGACGCCGGGACACGTACTGCCTCCTCCTCCTGCACGTTTAACCCCTCCGATCAGGAGGCTGCATTGCACACGGTGAAGGTGCAAAAATCACTCACCGTGAAGCCTCTCCTTGGAGGCTGGTAGCTGGCGAGCTTCTAGGTGGATGGAAGAGGGTTTGCGGAGGTGGCACGAGGTTTTGGAGAACAACCAAGTATTATTGCCGCCACTCCTAAATTGCCCCAGGCCTTCTGTCCCTCACGGGCCTCCTTCTGTCCCTCAAGGGCAGGCCCACACCTCACCCAAGACGCAGACCCTTAGCAAGGCTGCAGGTGACTCTCCACGGAGCCCTCCTGCAGCTGCACCATTTGAAACCAATCACTGCCATTTAACAACCCATTTACCTCAGATGTGGCAGGAGAGGTTCCTGGGGTCATTTTCTCACAAATTCTGTCCTAAGAGCCCCTCTGGATTCCCCAGGCAAACAAAAGCCGTTACTGCCTCACAGATAACATTTTACTACCCAGAGCAAGGCGTGGGGCAGACTAGAGAATGGAGGCAGGCAAAGTCCCCCAAAACGGGTGCAGGGGGCCAGTCATCTTGAGGAGCCAGAGAGCCTCCCACTGAGACTTGGGCAGTGAGGAGATGAGCACATCACGTTTCCTCCCTGCAGCACGTAACCTGTTTCTGTGCGCCATGCTCCGGTAGTTGGGCCACAAACAGATTTTTGCTACCGGTGGCAGGTTCCTTTAGCTCCGGCCCAAGTGCCAGACCCCACAAGGGCCAGGTATGTCAAGTTATTTAGAGGGAATGTGAGTGAGGAGCAAGTGAAGAGCATGTGTTTGCTTCTCGTGTTTGGAGAAATAAACCATGGCTTTGCAAAATGCCCTCGGCTCTCATCTCCACACCGGTGCAGGAGAAATACAATCTGTGCTGCGCTGGGAGTAACCCCTTTTTATTAGGCTTTTAAGAACATCAGTATATCTAACCCCATTTGCTGCTTCATTAAGCTTCCTGTGCAGCTGTAATGCAACGACCCGGGGCTGCCCTTCCCTTCCTTTCCAGTTTGCAAAGGGGACGCTATAAGATCCTAACAACTCAGGCCACTACTACTTTCCAAAGCCCTCTTCTCGTTGTCCTGATTTAAAAGAAAAGCTGTTCGTGTGTCTTTAGTACGGTCTAGATTCGCAAAATTCCTCCACGACCTAA